CTGACACTGGAGGACAGCTATGAAAATGCCTCAGGGGCTGGAGAGCTGAATGTGCACGTCATCCATTTTTTCTGCTTTGCTTTTTCCATTATTTTTTTTGCACTAATAGTTTTTCACCAATGTAGATGCAAACAGACAACAAGCCACATTGAAAGCAGGCCGAAACATCACATCAGGCAGGAAAATGCAACAGAAACCCAAGGAAAAGGGCGCCGGGCATGGCCAGTCTGGGCAACACAGTGGAAAACGCCCCGTCTCTACTTAAAAATCTAAAGATTAGCCAGGCGGTGGTTGGTTGTGCGCTGTAATCCCAGCTACTCAGGGAGGGGGAGGCCAGGAACAATCACTTAAACCCGGGAGGCGGAGGCCTGCAGTGGAGATGAGATTGCCACCACTGCCACCCCAGCCTGGGCTAACAGGGGAGTGAGGAATGTCCAGTCTCCACAAAAAAAAAAAAGAATCCGTAAACACAGAATTATTATATAATCCAGCCATTCCACTTGCTGGGTACACATCCCACAAGAACTGATGGCCCGGCCCGCAAATCCACATTCCCCCCCAGCGGAGACGCCAAGTCAGGCCCAGCCTTGACGCTAACGGGAATTAAAATCCAGGAAAACGACAATAAAGATAAGAAACTTGCAACTGCACGCTCGCACAGCGAACGCCTCCTGTGGTGGGGGGGACTTCTAGGGAAGTCTACAAATTGCATTTTAGAAGGTCCATGAACTCAACTGGGAAAAACTGCATCTTTATCTTTACTAACCTGTTATTGAAACTCACGTCATTCAATATGTATAATGTGGAAATAACTATAAGTACTGAAAGATAGCCAGGCGCAGTGGGCCACGTGCCGTGTGAATGCAGACTTTGGAGCCGTGAGTCAGTGTGAATTCACTTGAGGTCAGGCTGGATAAAGTTGAGACTAGCCTGACCAACAACTATGGTGTAAACAATTCTTCTTTTACTACAAAATTTAACACAAAATTAGCCGGGTGTGGTGAGTGCCATGCCTATAATCCCAGCTAGGCTCAGGGACCGGTCTGAGACAGGAGAATTGCTTGAACCCGGAGGGCGGGCGCGGTTTGCAGTGCAGCTGAGATTTGTGCACCACTGCACTCCAGCCTGGTAATATAAGAGTGAAACTCTGTCTTCAAAAAAAAAACAAAACAAAACAAAAAACAAAAACTACCAGATTACTTTCGATATTCATGTTAGCGTTGTTGTGATACCCTGAAATACTGTTTTACCCTTCATCACTACATCAAACTTACCATAGTATACTTTAGGCTTACTGCTAGATTGGTATTTAATGAGTTAATTAAAGGAGATAACCCTATTATTAAAAATTATACTTAGAACCACAGAATTGAAGCAGGGGTCTCTAAGGATTTTTGCGGTCCCCACCATTCCTACAGAAATTGTATTTGCAAAACAGCCAAAGGCCGGGAAAGAACCCAAATGGATGGAGTGGAATAACAGAATGTGGTTCTACAACAATGGACGTTCTATTCAACCTTAAAAGGAAAAAGGGCCGGGCGCGGTGGCTGCAAGGCCTGTAATCCAGCACTTTGGAGAGCGCGAGACGGGTGGATCACGAGGTCGGAGAGTCGGAGACCACCTGGGCTACACGGGTGAAACCGCGTCTCTTTACGTAAAAAATATTACAAAGGAACTAGCGCGGCGGAGCCGAGGTGGCGGCGCCTGTTAGTCCCAGCTACTCGGGGAGCTTGAGGCAGGTAGAATGGCGGTGAACCCGGGAGGCGGAGCTTGTAGTGAGCTGGAAGATTCACGGCCACTGCACTCCAGTCTGGGTACAGAGCGAGACTCCGCTCTCAAAAAAACAAAAAAAAAAGAAAAAAAGGGCCGGACGCGGTTGGCTCACGGCCTGTTAATCCAGGTACTTTGAGAGGCCAATGTGGGCAGACCACAACGGTACAGACGATCGAGCCATCCTGGCACTGACACACGGTGAACCCCATCTCTACTAAAAACACAAAAGTTTAGCAGGTGTGGTGCGGTGCTTGTATCCCAGCTACAGGGGAGGCTGAGGCAGGACGAATGGTGTGAACTCGGGGCAGGAGGAGCTTGCCTGTGAGCCAAGTTGTGCACTGCACTCCAGCCTGGTGTGGGGCGACACCAGCGTAGGACACGTTCATTAAAAAAAAAAAAAAAAAAAAGGGCTGGAGTGCAGAGTGGCTCACGCCTGTGCAATCACCGGTGGAGCCACCTTTGAAAGCTCGAGGTTTGAGCCTAGGAGTCTGAGACCAGCCTGGGCAATACAGTAGGACCCTGTTAATACAAAAAATAAAAAACTGGCTGCACACGGTGACTCACACCTGTAATCCCAGCGCTTTGTGAGGCCGAGGTGGGCAGATAACTCGAGGTCAGGAGTTCAAGACCAGCCTGCAGTAAGCACAGATTGTGCCACTGCAACATGGGCAACATGGTGAAACCCCGTCTCTACTAAAAATACAAAAATTAGCCAGAGTGGTGGCGCACACCTGTAATCCCAACTACTTGGGAGGCTGAGGCAGGAGAATCACTTGAATCCGGGAGGTGGAGGCTGTAGTGAGCCAAGATCGCCCCACTGCACTCCAGTCTGGGTGACAGGGCAAGACTCCATTTCAAAAAATAAAAATAAATAAATTAATTAATTAATTAACCAGGTGTGGCACATGCCTGCCATCCCAGCTGTTTGGGAGGCTGAGGCAGGAGAATCGCTTGAGCCTGGGAGGCCGTGGCTGCAGTGAGCTATGAGGCTGCAGTGCTTTGCAGCCTGGCTGACACAGCAAGACCCAGTCTCAAAAAATACGAAGGGAAGAAACTGATTCATGCAACAACACAGGTAAACCTCAAAACACCAAAACACCATGCTACGTGAGATAAGCCAGACACAGAAGGACAGATGTGATATGATTCCACTTGTATGAGGTCTTTAGGGTCACCAAATTCAGAGACAGAAAGTGGAATGAGGGTGCCAGGGTTGGGGGATGAGAATGGGGAGTACTGAATGAGGGGCAAAAGGTTCGAGTTTGCCAAACACGAAGAGATTCTGAAGGATGGGTGATGGTGATGGCCACTCAGCTTTACACTTAAAAATAGTTAACATGGGACGGGCACGGTGGCTCACGCCTGTAATCCAGAACTTTGGGAGGCTGAGGTGGGTGGATCACGAGGTCAGATCATCGAGACCATCCTGGCTAACACATGAAACCCCATCTGTACTAAAATACAAAAAAATTAGCCCGGCTGTTGTGGCGAGCACCTGTGAGTCCCAGCTACTCAGGAGGCTGAGCAGGGAGAATGGTGTGAACCTGGGAGGCGGAGGCTCACAGTGAGCTGAGATGGCGCCACTGCACTCCACCTGGGCGACCAGAGCGAGACTCTGTCTAAAAAAAAAAAAAAGCTATTAGGCCAGATGCAGTGGCTCACGCCTGTCCAGCACTTGGGAGGCGAGGCGGGTGGATTATTTAAGATCAAGTATTGGAGACCAGCCTGGGTCAACACGGTGAAACTGCCTCTTTACTAAATATACAAAAATTAGCGAGCGTTGTGGTGCGCACCTGTAATCCCAGCTACTCGGGGAGGCTGAGCAGGAGAATCGCTTGAACCTAGTGGCGGGGTTGCAGTGAACCCAATTGTGCCACTGCACTCCAGCCTGGGCAACGAGAGACTTCATCTCAAAAAAAAAAAAAAAAAAAATTGCCTGGGCGTGTGGGTGGCATGCAACTGTAGTCCCAGCTACTTGGGAGGCGGAGGCAGGAGAAATGGCATGGAACCCAGGAGGCAGGACTTTGCAGTGAGCAGAGATCACGCCATTGTACTCCAGCCTCGTGGAATAGAGCGAGACTCCTTCTCGGAAAAAAAAAAAAAGTTTTTGTGATGTAAAAAAAGAAATTAAGCTAGCCTAAAAGCCCCCTCAAGTTGAATGATGAAGAATCAAAACAAAACAAACAATAAACAAAATAAAAGTCTTCACACAAAAATCGGAGCTGCAAACCCCGAGTGGCTCCCAGAGCAACTCAGCTAAGCAGGGCGGCGGCGGAGCTGGGCACGACCAGCCAGCACATGGCCTGGAAAGGGAAGTCATTCTGCCCCTGAACCACCAGATAAGGCAGCCGGGCGAGTAAGGACGGGACACCTGTGTCTGAAACCCACCATGAAGAAGACCCGGGCCGGGACGAGCATGGCCACCGCGGCGGCACTGGTGTAGAACTGCAGCTCCGGGGCCCTGTGGGCAACAGAACACGCTGGGCCCCCGCCGTGTCAGGAGAGGCCGGGTCCACATGCAGCTCCTCACAGCAAGAATACCCAGCACCCCAGCCCACAAGACGTTCATTCTCTCTAGGCAGGACGAGGGCCGCTGCAGCTTCCAAGAAATGAAAACGCAAACGCACGCCAGGCTGGCTGAGGGGCTCAAGGGAGCGGCTGAGAAGCAGGCGGGTCCCTCCCGACCTTAGACAAGGTACTTGTAAAGACCACCCAAGCCAGACAGGAAGGGAGTCAGGTCTGTGGGGTGCTCTGACTCTTAAAGTGGGCAGGAAGTCCTCTTCGTCTTATGACCTGGAGATTTCACTGACGAGTAATACTTACGAGAACCTGTATTTGTCCCCGCTGAGAAGCTTTTTCGAAAAAACATTTTGCAAACTAGAATAAAGAAAAGAGGTGATGCATCAATACTAGCCCTCGGCACCAAACATCAGGGGACAAGGTGTCTGCGCTCACACGCAGCGACGGCGACAATGACCAGACCTCAGTGGTGCCACCATCACGCCTGGCTAATTTTTGTATTTTTAGTACAGATGGGGTTTCACTATGTTGGCCTGGCTGGTCTCCAACTCCAACTTGGTGGACTTCAAGTGATCCACCGACCCCAGCCTCTCAAAGTGCTGGGATTACAGGTGTGAGCCACCACGCCCAACAGATTTTTGTTTTTTTGAGACAGAGTCTTGCTCTGTTACCCAGGGTGGAGTGGGGTGGCAAGATCTCAGCTCACTACAAGCTCCGCCTCCCGGGTTCATGCCATTCTCCTGCCTCAGCCTCCCGAGTAGCTGGGACTACAGGCACCTGCCATCACGTCCGGCTAATATTTTGTATTTTTAGTAGAGACGGGGTTTCACCGTGTTAGCCAGGGTGGTCTTGATCTCCTGGCCTTGTGATCTGCCCGCTTCAGCCTCCCAAACTGCTGGGATTACAGGCGTGAGCCACCGTGCCCAACAGATTTTTATTTTTACTTCTGTATTATTCAAAATCTCACCATGAACCTGTTTTGCTTATTAGTAATAATGATAAACTCTTAGACACCGGTGGTGGTGTCTTTTCCTTTCTTTCCTCAAAAGCAGGAAAAGCCTAGAAGCCAGTCATTTTCAAAGGGCAAGTTTTGCCAGGGCTGGAGTGTGGCCATTAACAGCACAGCAGGGATGTGGACGCCCAATTCTGGGTGAATCTGAACAGGCCCCGAAGTGCAGCGTCCACTGCTCTTCTCTACTGAGTGACAAAGACATGAGTAACAGGGCCCTTTCCTCTTGGACCCCGCCACGTGCCGTCCTCACTGTGGGAGTTGGCCTCTCATCCTCTCTGCCATCGTGACACCAGGACACAGACGGCCACCAAGGAAGCAGAGGATCCGCCCGGCCTGGAGGTGGCGCAGCTCCCGAACAGGTAGAACCTGCCACTGGGGGGACTGTCCCTGCTCTGGCAGCCGCGTGAAGATGCCCTGAGCGAGACGCCGCTGAACGTATGCCGTGCATTTCAACATTTATCAACTAACCGTGTCTCCATGGTTAGTATTTTAAGTATCAAGACTGTCCATCCTGAAATTTTGGCTTGTTTTTGAGAAAGTTACCTTACGAGGATAACTGCTGTTTTGCTCTTTTTTTTTTCCCTTTTTTGAGATGGAGTCTCGCTCTGTCGCCCAGGCTGGAGTGCAGTGGTGCGATCTCGGCTCACTGCAAGCTCCGCCTCCCAGGTTCACGCCATTCTCCCACCTCAGCCTCCCGAGTAGCTGGGACTACAGGCACCCGCCACCACATCCGGCTAATTTTTTGCATTTTTTAGTAGAGACAGGGTTTCGCTGTGTTCGCTAGGATGGTCTTGATCTCCTGACCTCATGACCCGCCCACCTCGGCCTCCCAAAGTGCTGGGATTACAGGCGTGAGCCACCGCGCCCGGCCTGTTTTGCTCTTTAGGAAAGCGCAGCATAGGACGCACCTGCTTTGGCTCACGGGAGGAATTCTCAGCTCATCTGAGAATCCGCACACCCAGATGCAGGCAAGGGAGCACCGGGTCTTGTCCCCCTCACACCCGCCTTCTCTGTGACTCACCAGTCCATGATGTTGGTGGACAGCGCGGCCGAGAACCCCAGGACGTTGAAGCTGATCTCAGTGGCCGTGCACAGCGCCAGCCCGCCCATGACTGGGATGAGGGAGAGGTTGACCAGCAGCCCTGGCAAGAGGACAGCCCCTGTGAGTGGTTGACCCGCCGGGTGGAAGCTCCCTCCCGAGGCCCAGGCTGTTTCCGTTCCCTCTTATAAAAGGAACGGACGCTTCCTTCAATTCAAAAACAATACTTGTCAGTTCCTTCACATTGTCAGATAAAGCAAATCGAAGTCCACGTCTGCGAACCAGTCCCGTCCCCACGGCAAAGGTGGCGCCTTTCACTCTGCATGAGATGCGTCTCCCAGAGGCTGAGCCCCAGCCACGGGCGGGCGGCCTCAGAAACCTTCCTGGGTCTGTGGATGTGACATGAGATGCGTCTCCCAGGGGCTGAGCCCCAGCCACGGGCGGGCGGCCTCAGCAACCTTCCTGGGTCTGTGGATGTGAAACGGTGAGTGTGAAGATGGTCCCCCGGGAACTGCAGAGAGAGAGACTCTGGGGGCCAGGAGGGGCGCGCCCACATTGAGTTGATGCTTTTCTGTTCCTTTTGAAACATAACAAAACACTTACGTGAAGGAATTTTTAAAAAATCCACAGAACATGGCTCACACCTGTAATCCTAGCACTTTGGGAAGCCGAGGCAGGAGTATCACTTGAGCCCAGGGCTGAGCAACAAGGACACCCCACCTCTACAAACAATACAAAAATTAGCTGGGTGTGGTGGCACACGCCTGTGGTCCCAGCTACTGGGGAGGCTGTGGTGGGAGGATCACCTGCGCTGGGGAGGCCGAGGCTGCAGTGAGCTGTGATCACGCCACCGCACTCCAGCCTGGGCGACAGAGTGAGACCTTGTCTCAAAAGAAGAAAAAGAAACCTGAGTCAAGTTAACGTGGGAAACCCGCAGATGCGGCCTGGCCGAGACCCTGGCATAGCAGAGGGACCCGAGTCCATGTTGGCAGGCTCCAGCCACTGGGGCATCCTCTCATTTGCCATCACCTGGTCTCGTCCTCTGCTGGAAACCGGTTGAATCCCAGACAACATTTATGACATGTGTAGAGAACACTGGAGACTGAACGCCGTTTCACCCTTCCGGGAGGACGTGCTGCTGCTGGTGACATGCCGCTGGGGCGTCAGACACCTTTATCCAGCACCAGATTCCCATCCCAGCTGAAGGTCTGGAGTCTGGGGGTCCCCAAGGTGGTGCGCCCGTTCCAGCTTGTGCCCCTTCAGCCCCAGGAGACTGCTCTGCTCAGAAACCATTAGCAAATGCACTGGGGAGGGTGGTGCCTTAAGACAGGGTCCCTTCTCTGGGCTGCCCGAGGGTCCCTTCTCCGGGCTGCCCGAGGCTCCGGAAGCTGGGTGCCTCAGGCCCTGGCACCTCCGGCACTCTCCAACGCCTCCCCCACAGACTTCTTTTTGCTAAATGGCATCAAGATTTTCTCACTGTTGTCAGCAAGAGAGTTGGTTTTCTAATATCTCATCTACCATGGCTGGAGGTCAAATCGACGTTTTAAACTTGCTGGAAATAAACAGCTCCTTTCTGCATGGTTTGATGGGCAACAAGGTTGCTCTGTGTCATTTTGTTCATGATTTTCAGGATTGCTTTTTAAAGTCGGACGCAGTGGCTGACTCCTATAATTCCAGGACTTTAGGAGGCCGAGGCAGGAGGATCACGTGAGGCAAGGAGTTCAAGACCAGCTTGGGCAACATAGCGAGACCCCATCTCTATAAAACACACACATATGAGGCCGGAGGTGCTCAGACTTGCGCTGAGGGTTGGCCCTGCTGTTCTTGGCTTCTCAGTTCTTCGGGAGCTGGAAATGAACTCGGACGTCAGGGCTCAGCTCAGGGAGCTGATCACCACGGCAGCGAGGGAAACGGAGGTCGCTGGTGGTCAGAAAGTTATCACAGGCCAGGCGCAGCGGCTGATGCCTGGAACCCCAGCACTGTGGGAGATCAGATCACAAGGGCAGGAGTTCGAGACCAGCGTGGCCAACACGGTGAAACCCCATCTCTATTAAATATGCAAAAATTAGCTGGGTGTGGTGGCAGTCTCCTGAATCCCAGCTACACGGGAGGCTGAAGCAGGAGAATCGCTTGAACCCAGGAGGCGGAGGGTGCAGTGAGCCGAGATTGCGCCACTGCACTCCAGCCTGGACGACAGAGAAAGCCTCCATCTCAAGAAAAGAAAAAAAAAAGGGCCGGGCACAGTGGCTAACACCTGTAATCCCAGCACTTTGGGAGGCCGTGGTGGGTGGATCACGAGGTCAGGAGATGGAGACCATCCTGGCCAACACAGTGAAACTCCATCTCTACTAAAAATACAAAAAATTAGCCAGGCGAGGTGGCGGGCACCTGTAGTCCCAGCTACTCAGGAAGCTGAGGCAGGAGAATGGCGAGAACCTGGGAGGCAGAGCTTGCAGTGAGCTGAGATCGTGCCACTACACTCCAGCCTGGGCGACAGAGCGAGACTCCGTCTCAAAAAAAAAAAGAAAAAAAGGAAGTTATAGTTTTTATTCCTGTTCTGCCACTGAAATCATTCCAGAAAATCCAAGTCTGGCTAGTACATGAATTGAAGAAAAAGTTCACTGGGAAGTATGCTGTCTATTGCTTAGAGGAGAATTCTGTCTAAACCAACTCAAAAAAGGTGTACAAAAAATAAGCAAAGGTGTCCCAGGATCCACGGTCTGACAGTCGCGTACGTCACAATCCTTGAGGACTCGGTCTTCCCAGGTGAAATTGTGGACAAGAGAATCCTCATGAAAATGACAGCAGCAGCTCACAAGGGTTCATTCAGACAAAGCCCAGCAGAACAATGTGAAACGCAAGGTCGGAACTTTTTCTGGTGTCGAGAAGAAGCTCACAGGCAAGGCTGTTAATTCTGAATCCCCAGAGTTTCAAGTTTCAATTATAAGAAAAATGACTAACGTACATTCACAGTTTAAAACACACACACACACACACAAAAAAAAATACAGAACTTAGCCGGGCATGGTGGCACATGTCTGAGGTCCCAGCTACCCAACAGGCTGAGGTGGGAGGATCGCCTAAGCGGGAGGCAGAGGTTGCAGTGAGTCGTGATCTCATCACTGCACTCCAGCTTGGCGACAAAGCAAGACCCTGCCTCAAAAAAACAACAACAGGCCGGGCGCGGTGGCTCAAGCCTGTAATCCCAGCACTTTGGGAGGCCGAGGCGGGCGGATCACAAGGTCAGGAGATCGAGACCATCCTGGCTAACACGGTGAAACCCCGTCTCTACTAAAAATACAAAAAACTAGCCGGGCGAGGTGGCGGCGCCTGTGGTCCCAGCTACTAGGGAGGCTGAGGCAGGAGAATGGCGTAAACCCAGGAGGCGGAGCTTGCAGTGAGCTGAGATCGCGCCACTGCACTCCAGCCTGGGCGACAGAGCAAGACTCCGTCTCAAAAAAAAAAAAAACAACAACAACAACAAAAAAACAAAAACAAAGAAGCAGTTGACTTTTAAGCTTTGATTTTGTTATAATCACCTAAACGTGTGTGCGGGTCTCACGTGCACGTGGGGCAAGCCCAACCCCGCCTTGGACCCTCGGCCTCCTCCCATCCCCAAAGGCAGACAGACATTTGCCTTGGCCTTAAGATCTTGTCGTTTCTTAAACAGGCGAACACGTGTGTACATACCCCCCCCCACTCCGTGCAAGACGCCACGCTCTGCGGGTGCCTCTGTCCCTCGCTTGTTTTCATGCAGCCACACTGGGTATGCGACATGGAGCCTACATGTCGCTGGAAATCGCCTGTGAGTCATTAAGAGGTGGGAGAGGCAAGAGCCTGCGTTGCAGCTGAGGTCAGGGGCTGGGGCCCAGGAGAGGCCTGTGGTGGCGGGCGCTGGGGAGGCTGTAGGGTGCTGGCACAGGCTGGCCCATACACCAGGAGCCACAGCCACCTGTGTGATGCTGGCTGAAGGCGGCCCCCGCCCATCCTCTTCGAGTCAGTGATTGGCACCTGCAGTAATCTTGCTTGCCAGGAATCTGCCCAGTCCCCAACTGTCTCCCCACCCAGTTAGGGCCATGAGGTACAACCCTGCCCTGACCTCCGCATGCCAGTGTGAGAAGACCTGGCAGACACCAGGCTCCAAGACACCCCCGCACATGTGACCGTGGGGAAAATGTTTCAGGAGAGAAGTGAAGGCACTGCCAGTGTGGGCCCCGCTCCGAGTGGTCCTCTCGGCAGAGCCCCATGGGAGGTGGCAAAGACAGGCACCGCGGATGAAGGCCTGGGATGGTGGGGCCCAGGGGCCTCACCTGTGTACTCCCCTAGAATCATCCGAGACATGATCACTGTGAAGATGGGGGCGGAGCTCTTCACCGTCTCAGCAAATGAAACCGCCACATTTTTCAGGCTGACCAAACCCAAAACCACAGTTGCAAACCTAAAAATTAGCAGAAAGCACATTACCTGAGAACAAGTCTGTCCGCCTGCAGCCACTGGGCAGGTTCTCTCCAAGGGGCCTGCTCGGTCAATGGGCACGTCAGCCCCTCTCCCCACCTCCTCATCACCAACGTGGTGCCTGGACCTGCTTCTGCGACGCTTTAGGTCGAGCCCCCAGGAAATGGCACTGCACCCAACGTGAAGTGACATCCGCCACCCTTTGAAAATGCCCCAGAGACAAGGAGGCACCTTGTCCTGTGACCACCAGCCTGGAGAGAAGCTGACTGCGCAAGAGGCAGTGAGAGCCACAAATTCACATTCACCTGGTGTCCTAAAATCTGGACGGCCCTGACGCTTTTATAAACTCTGCACTGAAAACTCACCAGTCAGCAGAGTCTCCGCTCTAGTAACAAGACAGGGACTTTACATTTAAAGAAAAAGAGACTCAACCAAAGCGTGAGATTCTTTACCTCATCAGACCCACAAACAGCATCGTCATAAGGAAGTTGGGTGGGTAGGAAAGCCGGGCCTTGTGCTGATATAAACAGCAAGGAACGAGGGTTTTCACACACCCGATAACTGTGGTGGACAGCATCTGCACCGCGCCTGCGGGAGGGAGGGGCCAAAGCCAAGAGGGAGAATCACCCCTCCCGCACCTGCAGCGGGCTCCACCCCGGGTTCCCATCCTGACCCCGCACCTGCAGCGGGCTCCACCCCGGGTTCCCATCCTGACCCGGGTTCCCATCCTGACCCCGCACCTGCAGCGGGCTCCACCCCGGGTTCCCATCCTGACCCGGGGCTCCACTCCTGGACAACCGCCCCTGGGCCGGGGCTCCCCACCCCGGGTTCCATCCTGCCCCGGGCCACACCTCCGGCCAGCCTGCTTTCTCCACCCCCACGCCGCCACGCCCGCCGCCCTACGCATCGCGTGCGGCCTGCCTCGCCAGCAGGGCCACCACTGCACCTTGTTGAGCCAAGAGTGTGCCAGAAACTGACAGCGAAAACCACCAGGGTCGCGTTACCAGCCACGCCCCGTAGCTCCAACACCCAACGGCTGACTCGCGATACCGGCCGCCGATGGGACAGTCAAGTAGTTCTCTCTCGCCACCGTCGCTCTTGGCAACAAACAATCTGCTCCACTTCGGTGACCAAACAGAGGAGCCCCAAGCTGAGAGGCGACCCTTGCCTTGTAGTGCTTCTCCCTTCAGAGCCAGGAGCCGAGCCCTTCCAGCGCCGGGCGTCTTTCACCGTGGACGACATGCGAAGCACCGCCAGGACGATCTCTTAACCTTCAGGCTGGGCACCATGGGTGCCACCGGCGACCCGCCGTGGGCCGCGAGCAGGGACTCCCAGGCGCCAGGAACGCGAGGCCACGCGGCCTCTCCAGGGCCAAAGCGCAGCAGCAGCACGCTACTCGGTAAGAAAGGGGACAACCCTATTCTTTTGCACATTCCCACTCGCTCCTCAAAGCCGTTTCAACCCACCAACCTTACAACATTACTCTCGAACATGGCAATTGCGAGCACGGCACGGCTGGCTCCACCTGGCTAATCCCAGCACTTGGCGCAGGCCGACGGCAGCGTGGATTCACGAGGTCAGGAGCTCCCCCCCCCAGACCCCAGCCTGGCCACAGTGAAACCCCGTGTCTACTAAAATATACAAAACCTAAGCAGGCGGGCCCGGCGCCCCCTGGCTCACCCCTGTAAGTCCCAGCCACTTTGGACCGCCGAGGCGGGCGGATCAACAAGGTCGAGAGATCATAGCCATCACCTGTGCTAACACAACGTGAAACCCGCCTTACTCAAGAAATACAAAAGAAATTAGCTGGGCACTCGGTGGCGGGTGCCCCTGTACCCCCAGCTACTTGCGACCTGAGGCAGGAGAATACTTGGACCCAGAGGTGGAGGTTTCGGTGCCCGAAGAGTCGCACGCATCACACTTCCATTGGGTGACAAGAGAAAGACCTCATCTAAACAAAAAAAAAAAAAAAAAATTAGCCGGGCGTGGTGGCAGGCACCTGTAATCCCAGCTACTCGGGAGGCTGAGGCAGGAGAACTGCTTGAACCCAGGAGACAGAGGCTGTGGTGAGTCGACACAGTGCCACTGCACGCCAGCCTCAGCAACAGGGTGAGACTGTCTTAAGAAAAAAAAAAAGAAAATGCAATCGTTCACTGTCCAGAGAGTTTTAGCAATTGAATCCCATTTTTCTCTGCACGTGTTGGCAGATCCTTGCTCTTGGGAGACAGTCTCCAGGCACACTTGACCTTCCTGGCAGACCTGGGGCTGTGGGTCCCTCACGCCCTGGCTGGCAGCTGCACCTTCTTGATGGGCTTTGTGGCTGCCGCCGCCAGGTACCCCAAGACTAATTCCATGCTACTCTCTAGACAGACCCCGTGGTACAAAGCCACACTTACCCCCACCTCACGCTCAGGTGACTGTGGCTTTTCAGGCGAGACACCCCCTCCCTTCCCACAACCTCTGGGAAGGTCAGAACAGCCCGTTTCCTTCCAAGGGCTGGTGGGAATCATCCCCCCAGCTCGGGCTTTGCGCAGGTGCCACCGTGACTCCGTAGCACCGAGACCCCACCTCCCCCAGGTCTCAACCCCAGCGCTCAGGCAGCCCTGATTTCCTGTTTCTCACACTTGGGTTTCTCTTCCTACTTCGGTGGGTGGCTGTGCATCTGAAGGGGCACCCATCCTGTCTCACCAACGCGGCGCTCAGGGAGCGTGTGGTGCCGGCCGCGCTGCCCGACCCAGGACCCCTCCTCCTCTCACTTCTCCCCCGGGAAACTGGGGTTCCCACCTCACCCACGACCTCCTTCTGGGTTTATGCTTATGCACTTGCGTGCGTGCTGTCTGTACATATATTCTATGTTCACACTGAAGGACGCACTCCGCCCCCTCGCCCACCGAGACTTCCCCCAGGTGCTCAGGCCGGCCTTTCCCCCAGCTCACCTGCCCAGCAGTGCTCAGAGGTGCCTGAAACTCGGCCTCTCCACACCCGGGAACAGGTGGTCCTGCCCTCTCCCCAGTGGGGGCAACGCCAGGGCCTCTGCCGCCATCCCCTCTCTCCTCCCCTCCCCCTGCTCTGTGTGTTGTGGCCTCTGCCGCCGTCCCCTCTCTCCTCTCCTACCCCTGCTGTGTGTCTGTGCACCCAGAGCTCCCCATCTGCCCATCACACCGCTAGCTCAGTGCCACCTGGACACTCCCAGGCCACCCATGTGTGCCCTGACCCCTCGGTGCACCAGGACAGCTGCCTCCAAGGGCACCCCAGGCCTCAGTGGGGACGAGGCCAGCCCCTCCACCACTTCCCACAGCCTCAGAATAGCAAAAGGCGACTGCGTCCGCTCCTCAGGCCACTGACAGTGCCGGATCTCCACAGAGACACCATTCCCTTCTTCCTGCTCAGCAGCATGGTCCGCGGCTTAGCTTGGGGTGACAATGAGCTGGGAGCTAAATCTCTGTGGGCTGCAGCCTCCCTGGAGCTAGGACTGGCTGGGCCCTGAGCCAGGGAGCTAGGAGACTTTGTGCCCTTTTCCTGGACTGATGGGCCCGGGCTGGGGGTGGAGCAGCTACCTGGCTTTCCTAAGGTGAAAATCCAAGAACAAAGGGTGCGGCAGAACAAAAGGACAGAGCACGGGGACAGGGCTCTGCACAGCAGGCCGGGATCTCACTCCCCACCTCACTGGGCCTCACGGCCCTTGCCCTCTCCCTCCCACCTCGACTGGGGACGCTGTCACAGCACCTGCTACGCAGACTCTGCCACCACCAGCGAGTTTCTAAAACCAAATTCATTTACACGGCAAGGAGGCAACGCTCAAGAACCCACCCCCAGGAACAACGAGCAGGACGCCGGGCTCCGGGCGTGGGCAGATGATGCCCGTCATGGCCCACCTGACATCAAGGCAAACCTGGAATTCCAAAGGCAAGCATTTCCCAGCCCACACGCGGCCGCGCATCCCTCTCTTGCCAGAACAGTCTGTCCACTTAGTTTCCATCTGAGAAACTCACAGCACTCCAGGCAAAACTGCTCCCCACAGTGAGGGCCCCCGTTCCCCTTCTCTGCTGACACTGGGCTCCCAAGAAGCCCGTGGGACCCGCACAAGCAGCCCAGTCCCCATCCTAATGTTTTCTCACAATTGGTGGAGACAAAAAAACAGAAATCACACTTCAATGATGCTGCTGTTCTCTGTACATCAAGAACTTAAGGTTCTGGGCCAGCAGCAGTGGCTCACACCTGGAATCCCAGCACTTTGGGCAGCCAAGGCGGGCGGATCGCCTGAGCTCAGGAGTTCGTGACCAGCCTGGCCAACACAGCAAAACCCCGTCTCTACTAAAAATACAAAAAAAATTAGCCGGGCCTGGTGGCTGGCACCTGTAATCCCAGCTACTCGGGAGGCTGGGACAGAATCGCTTGAACCTGGGAGGCAGAGCTTGCAGTGAGCCGAGATTGCACCATTGTACTCCAGCCTGGGTGAAAGAGCGAGACTCCATCTCCCAAAAAAAAAATGCTGGGTACAGCGGCTCACGAGTGTAATCCCAGCACTTTGGGAGGCTGCAGCGGGTGGATCACGAGGTGAGGAGTTCAAGACCACCTTGACCAACGTGGAGAAACCCTGTTTCTACTAAAAATACAAAATTAGCCGGGCATGGTGGCAGGCGCCTGTAATCCTAGCTACTCGGGAGGCTGTGGCAGGAGAATCACTTGAACTCGGGAGGCAGAGACGCCATTGCACTCCAGTCTGGGCAACAAGAGCAAAATTCCATCTCAAAAAAATAAAAAGAATTTTTTTTAATGTAGCTGGGCACGGTGGTGCTTGTAGTCCTAACTACTTAGGAGGCTGGGGTGGGAGGACTGTTTGAGCAGGAGAGGTCAAGGCTGCAGTGATTGTGCCACTGAACTCCAGGCTGGGCAACACAGCAAGACCCTGCCTC